ATTGGACCTTGAGTTTGCCATTTACTGGCTGACAGGTGATTTAACTTCTTTCTATGTTTCTTCATTAGGGTAGGATAATTAAACCAATCCAATTCTTTTATGATATAGTGATGAAATAATTTTCTCATAAGTTCTATATAAATTGAAAACATTTTACAAATGTGGGGTATAATATTAATCATTATTGTACTAAAAAGAACTTGCATTAGAAGTAGTCTTTCTTCAGAAAGCAAGGAACTAACCTTCTTCAATTGAGACCTCTTTTGTTTTCATGACTTTCAATAAACAGCTAGTTTTCTCCAACTTTATATCCAGTATGCTATTCTTTCCATTGATTTCTATAATTTTCTGTGGAAGAAAGGGAATATGAATTCTTACCAAATCAGTGATGATATGTTGACTCTAAGGGCATAAATAATAATGATAACATCAATCACTTAATATGTAAAAGTCTAATAATTAAGTAGGCAGCTTTTTAACTTAATTTTTAAAGCAACTTGATAAAATAGTAAAATCTATTATTGAGAAGCTGAATTATATGAAAAAAAGGAGACACTAGGTATGGAGGAAGGTCCATTAACCACCTATAATATGTTAATGGCACAACTTTTTTTTTTTGACACAACCTTTTGCTGGAAGCAAAGAAGACACGAAGTACTTGGTGACCAAGATCAAAGACTACATTCTTTAGAATGGATAATTCCTTAATATACAGAAAGCAAACATCCCCACAACTTGACCAATATTCACAACCAAAACAAACAAAATAAATAAAAAATCCATCAAGGGTTGCAGCCTTCAATATGGATTACAACACAATGTGAAGAAAACAAATATCCTCTCAAATGGACCAACAGGTACCATCACGATAAATGGAGAAAATATGGATATTGTCAAGGATTTTTATCATACTTGGATCCACAATCAATATTCAAGGAAGCAGCAGTCAGGAAATCAAATAATACATACATTGGGCAAATCTTCTGCACAGATTTAAAGTGTTGAAGAGCAAGGATGTTACTTTGAGGAATAAAGTAAACCTGACCCAGGCCATGTTTTTTTTCAATCCCCTCATACACATGTGAAAGTTGGACAATGAATAAGAAAGACTGAAGAAGAATAGATGTATTTGAGTGATGTATTTGAATGATGGTGCTGGGGAAGAATACTGAAAATACCATGGACTTCCGAAAGGATAAGCAGTTCTGTCTTGGATGAAGTACAGCCAGGATACTCCTTAAAGGTAAGGACAGTAAGACTTCATCTCATGTACTTCATCTCATGTTATAAGGAGACACTAGTTCCGGGGAAAACACATCATGCTTGGTAAAGTTGAGGGGCAGTGAAAAAGAGGAAGGCCCTCAACAAGATGGATTGACACAGTGACTGCAACCATGGACTCAAACCTAAGAACAATTGTGAGGAT